TCTAGACTGAAGATTCCAGGATTAGCACAGCTCCAGTGAGGTGTCCTCGTGTCTCAAGAGGGGTTGACAAGGAAGTTAGGTCTGTGACAACTTAGCAGCCACCATGTGAAACCAATACTGGTGGGAGTGTCAAAGGGTTCCCAAGAGAGAAAGGGAAACTGGACGGACCCCAGCTATTCCTCCGGGTATTACTTTCTTGAGCCTCAATTTCGTCTACAAAGTGGAGGCAAGGTTCAGGAGTGACTGGGGTCCGAGGTTGGCAGGGCACATGTGACAGATTGGGGTGTCTGGGACTTGGGGGTATGGTGTGTTTGTCAATGACGAAGCAAGTTTCTCCTTCTTTATTGTGACCTCCATTTAGGACCCTCCCTACTGAGAGACAATATTCTGTAGGGATGCTCTCAGTTAACATCTTCCTCTCTTCATCCTCCATACTACAAGTCAGAGAGCCAGAGAAGTCTATATGGTCACACAATTCCATATCTGAGCGCCCTTTCAGTTCAAATACAATCCAAGCAAGTTGTTACGGTTCAAATATGCAATGTCCCTCAAGGGATCAGGATGCCTCGCTCCAGCTTTGGTGCTGTTTGGGGAGATAATGGGAACTTTAGGAGGCGGGGCTTCATTGAAGGAAGTCAATAGGGGCCTTTGAAGGTTATGCCTAGTTCCTGTCTCACCTCCTCTTTATCCCTGACCTGACCTGTCCTGTCTGCCATGAAAAAGCTCATCCATCACATGCTCTAACTGACCACCATGATGCTTTGGTCAAGGAACTATGGATGAGCAGTACAAATCTCTCCTTTAAGCTGTTCCCTTGGGTACCTGAGCCACAGTGATAGAAAAGTACTAATACACAAGGAGATCACACTAGAAAATGGGTATGGCTGTGAACTGGAGAATAAGATCAAAATACATTGTATACATGTATCAAATCCTCAAAAAGGAAATCAAAGTATTATATAAATAAGATTTGCTTTCCTGCCAAACATCAAGGGTTTCTGTGGTTTTGAATTTGATAACATTAGAATTATACAATATATATTCCTTTGTCTCTGCTTAGTTGTTGTGGTGATGATAAAATATACATAAAATTGCCATTTTGATCACTTTAAATGTACAGTTCAGGGGCAGAACATGCATTCACACTGTGACACAGCTATCACCAGACACCACCTCTCCTGAGACCTCAGCCTGCAGAGCTGAAACCCCTGCTCCACACTAACTCCCCATTCCTTCCTCATTCCCTCCAACATTCTACTAAGAATCTGATTACTCTAGGACCTTGTAAGTCAAAGAATATATATGCTCTTTTATGTCTGTTATTTTACTTACTGTAATGTCTGAGGTTTATCTATGGTGTTATATATGTGAGAATACCCTTTCTTTTTAAAAGCCCAATAATGTTCACTTACTCAGAAACTGTGTTTGTCAGTTCATCCAATAATGGACATGTCTCACTTTAGTATCAGATCAGCCAGGCTTTTGTATCTAGTGAGAAACTGAACATACAAACAGACATGGGCAGACTATTCACACAGACAGCTATGACTTTTCCTCCCAGGAGACCCAACAACCCAGGAGGCAGTCTGCCACTGACCAGATTTTACAGGCAGCCAGCCTGCTATCTCTGGTAGCAATTCGAGGAGCTGGACCATAGCTTCTGTCACAACCAGCCTAACAAGGCTAGGGCTTCCCCAACTTCTGCCTATGTTTAATGAGGACCAACCAGCAGCACAAAAATGTCATTAGCTGGCCTAGAGTATCCGCAGCCTACAGCCTCCAGTCAAGGTCTTCCACTGTAGAGTAAGGGTCCCAACTCTGAATTCTGCTTTTGAATCTCTGCACAAGTCAAGTATGACAGAGCAAGCTCTAAAAAAAAACAACTTTGCTTTTCTCATTTAGTCAATCTTGGCTTTCTTCCACAACAGCTACTGACTCATTTTTAGTGCTGTGTAGTACTCCATGACAGTAATTTATATAATGTATCCATTCTGCTGTCACTGGGTATCTGGACGGCTTCCTTTTATAAAATGAAGGACTATGAAGATACCACCATGAATGTACCTGGCCTCTTTTGATCTCAGAAGCTAAGTAGGATTGTGCCAGGTTAGTACTTGGATGGAGACCACCTGGGAATACCACTGTTACAGGCCCAGCTACTCATGGGGCTGAGGCAGGAGGATTGTTAATTCAAGACCTGTCTGGGTACAGCTTGTATAACTTAGTGAGACCCTTTATCAAAATAAAACAAAATGAAAAGCAGGCTAAGGCTCAGTGGTAGAGAGCTCGCCTAGCATGTATAAGACCCCAGAATGCAGGAGACTCTGGACTCAGTTACCAGCACTGTGATGACTAAAATTACAATAAGCAATGCCACGAATAAGCATGCGCATGCCTTCTTGTAGAAATGTGCACCTAGTTCTGTTGAGGAATCACCCTGAAGAGCTGCTAGGCCTCAGGTACCCTCACCAGTATTCAAGAGCTCAGCTGCTCCATGGCCTCACCTACCTTCCGCGAGTCCTCTCCTGCCTGAGTGTGCAGCACCAGCACAACTGCTTTGGTATGTTCTTGATTAAAGTTGAGTACTCTCTCATGATGGCACTGCAAATACATCAATCTTTTAATAGCGGTGGTCCCTTGATCAAAAATTTCTGATGGGAACCTCTCTCTCTGTGTCTCTGTGCCTCTGTCTGTCTGTCTGTCTGTCTGTCTGTCTGTCTGTCTCTCTCTCTCACACACACACACACACACACACACACACACACACACACACACACACACACACACACACACACCACATGGGCTTTCTTTTACCCTCCTACCCTCCTGGGGCTTCACACACAGTCCTCTCAGTGCAGCTTCCTGCTTTGTTTTCTTTATTGCTTATTATCCTATTCTGAAAGTTACCATTTGTTTCCATGTTACATAGACTTGGTATGGGTATGAGTTACAAACTAAACCAACCAGTGAGCTGTCCTACATTAGTGACTCAAAACCCCTGAGCATCGCTGTCTTTGAGGGTGAGATTTTTCTGAAATGGAGGACATCTCTTGGCAAAGCTCCAACAAGGAAGAACTCTGCATTTCTACACAGCCCTCTTCAAAAGTCAACAGCAAACATGTAGAGTACTTCATGTTTAGTTCCAAATAAGAAGACTTGGTTTACTCTTGGCTATTTATAAACGAGACTGAAAAAACACTAGGACATTGTGCAGGACGATCGGAGTTATTTGTCCACTTGAGAGGTGCTGGTATGGCTTCTATAGCACCTCTCGAAAACACTCCCATGCATTTCCAAAGCCACCCTACCGAGCAGTTCAATGGGCTGTGAGAATAATGCAGCCACTGAAAGGAAGCACTGAGGACAAGCTGAGTATCTGAGAGACTGTCATATGCCAATTGCCTAATATAAAATCACAGCACTGATCCTCTCTGGTCAGATTGAGAACCTGACCCATAGGAATATTTGTCAATCCTGGCAAGAGTCTGAAAGGTACGCTTAGTGTTTCAGGGAGTGAAGTAAACTCATTAGGCAACATTAAAAAAATGCCATCACTCCACGCCAAGGGAAGCAGAATAGCACAGAATTAAATATTACTGAACTTGACTTGCAAGATCTGCACTTACTTCTCCACAGCAATCTGTCCTCTCTCTACTCCTGGGTGAACTTTTATGACTAAAGAGAATCTGGGGTCATTCAGCCTGAATGAGGATACACCACCCAAGGGCGTGGTCCCACTACTTCATCTTGGATGCTGGCCCATGTCTGACCTGGCTGTGTGAGGATTCCCAGGCAGCCCCACACAGGCTCCTGTCCCAGCCTGTCACCCCACCCTTTGCTGGCCTGCCTTCTTCCTCACTTTTCAAGTTTCGTGATGCTTCCTGATGTCTCCACAGCACTGTCACTCCTCTCTGCATACACAGGCTGGAAGTTCTTCAGTCTCTCCGGTGGGGCTTCTGTGCTTGGCTAGTCCTCAGGTACTCTAGAAGAACCACGTACAGTTGCTGACACAGAAGAAAACCTACTGTTGTTTTGCTGAAGAGTAACGTGGCCAACCCGCTTTCTAAATACATTTATACCCACAGTTTAGTGCAGTGTCCAGCCTGCATCACAAAAGCATCTCACTGCCGCTGGCTGTGGTTAATACAGAAACCTATAACTGATCCAAGTGTTGAGAGTGACAATGGAATGCTTGTGGGACATTATGATACCCCCCTACACACACACACACCACAGACACACACACACACACACACAAACCACACACACACACACACACACACACACACACACACACACACACACACACACACACATAGGTCAGAGAACAGCTCAGAAGAAGGGACAGGCGGGAATGTAAGAGGCGAGGATGGGGAGATGTGCAGCAAAAAGTTATCTGTATACAACACAAGAGTGGACCCATCAATGCTTCATCAAGGATGAGGAAGGGGACCACGGGACCTGGTGCCTTCCAGAGGAACCACTGGCAATTACTGCCTGGAGGAAGGCCACTTTACTCAGTAGGTAGCTGCAGATAAGTTAGTCTTGCTCGGTGGAACCACTTCCCACCCACATTCAGCCGTGAATACAAGGAAGTCATGCGGGGAGGGCTCACTGAACAGAAGGTGCCAGTGGAAGAAGGGTAATGAGGGGACATCGGGGTGAAAATGACTGAAATTCATTACGCCAGTGTACGAGGCTGTCAAATGGTAGCAACAACATAGGATCCATGGGAGTACAGTGAGCAGCTGGGATATGGTGGTGTTCCCAAAAACTTGTTATACCGTGTTTAATAAAAACTTTAATTGCATCTGTATTAAAAAAAATAATAACTATGTCCATTTCGTTTCATTGCAATAGCATTGCCAACCAGCTCTGTTGCTGTCAGTCAGCTCCCTCCTGGCTCTTAGAATACACACTCAATAGCAGCAGCCTCCACAACAACACTGCATTGCACTGACACACATTAAAAAAAACCTCGTTTTTAAAAGGGGACAGTCTGTGGTCTAAAGGACAGTTTATTGGAAACAAAGGTCACAGGTGCTGGGGAGGAATGAGGGGGAACAACTCTCACATAAAAGCACACAGAATGGACCCCAAGTTAAAGACAAACAGCAGTGGAAGATGCTATGTCTCACACATGTACAAACCGCTGACCCTCATTATTTACATCCAAACCTTACAAAATAGCATTTCAAGTCAGCATTTTAAGCCAGTGTTGTTAGTTTTTGTTACAAAACATTAAAGCTACAAACTTCACATTTTTAAATTGTACATCAGCAACAGCATTTAAGATTTTTTTTTCCCCCTCCAAGTTGGTCTGAGTGCAGGCTGGTGGAAGAGACTTTCCCCTAAACCCAAAGAACATGGATTGCAAAAATGATGCATGTAATTCTAATAAAATTACAAACACAGTGCTCAAAAGAAGGGTGAGGGTGATGGGTATGGCTTGGGCAGGAACAACTTCTCCAAAACTGCAATCTTTAGAGGCCGCACGGTACGCTGGGAAGGACGGTGGAGTGAGAACTGGACTCTGTTACACTCTGCTGGCATGACCTTGAGGAATAGGCACTATCGGAGCCCCTTCCTGGTCCATAAAGGGAAGAGATGCTGGTATCTCTCAGAGCTACCAGGTTTTGGTAGAAAGGGGGCTGGCTGTTCAGACTGTCCATTTCTTCTTCGGGGAAGCTTGGTGAATTTATTAGCATGAAGCTGCTCACAATATTCTGCTATTGGTCTCTGAGCGTCTGCAGGATCTGCAGTGACGCCATCTCTTTCATTCCTGACATTACGGGGGGGGGGGGCACTGAGTGTTAAGTGGCAATCTACATTTTTGGCGTCTGCCACATGCTACTCTACAGTGTCAATGACTCAATGCCTGAGGCTTCAGATTGCCACTCCTATCTACCCTCTAGCCCAACAACCTTCTCACTCCCAGCCACTCTGATTCTCGCCCAGTTAACTGGGGCTGAAGAAACAACATGAGAAAAATTAAAAATGGAAATGTGCTCCAAATTTACGAATGGGGGCATAACTAAAACATTTTCAGAGACTATGAGGTTCTGTTTGTTTTCTTTAAAAGAGAAGTTAAGTGTGGGTCATGGCTTCTTGGAAGCAGAGAGCTGAGTCACAAATGTTCAAGCTCAAAGGACACAAGATGTGATCCCTGGGAGTTGGTCCTCAAGGGAAAGATGACTTGCTCCCTGCCTGTCACTGGACAAGGCATACACCTTGCCAGGAAATTCCGTTGATCCAGAACGCTCTCTCCTACTGGACCACTGAGCAGCTGACTGCTGGACCAAGCTGCACGGTGCAGACATGCTTGAAACCAAATAAACTCCAGATCTAGGTTCACAGCTGCAGAACAGTCACAAATAGACCAGAACTATTTGCCTGTGCTTGGATCTTGCTTCAGAACAGAGTTGAGGCTTTCTCCTTCTGTCTGGCCCAGCCCAAAGCACTTTTCTTCGAGGGAAAGAGCTCCAACGCTGGGCTGTTAGGTAGCACAAACATTATGCATGCCTGGTGCTCTGGGTTCTTAAAAGCTTACTTGATTGGGGAAATTAACTATTAATTCAGCTGGTTTTTAACCTAGAAAAACATCGCTTAGACTTGGCCTTGTTAAGAAGCCATGGCCACTTCGGTCTAAGCATGGAGGACTTTCCTGTTTTTGTGACTACCCTCACAGAATGATGTCATGCATCCAGATGCAGTGTCGTGGGAAAGGAATCTTTCAAACTCAGTTTCATCAGAAGAGAAGTAACTTAATGAGCCCACAGGTTTACTATGAAACTTGCAGTGCACCTGGCTCAGTGTGTGAAACTTGCTCCCCAGGGAATGCTAGCTGCCATTTACCATTCCAGCAAGATCCTCAAAGTGTCCTCTAATTCTCTCTGCCACGTAGTTCCTTTGCTAGCCAAGTCTTGCAGACCAGCTGCCTCTTGCATTTTTAAAGCTTGCTTTAACTGCAAAGAACAGAATCTGGTCACAGAGGAGAATATCCCCTTCCTTTTATCGACTCTCAGGTTAGGGAACAAAAGCAATTATGGGGTTGGATTTCAGTGTCCTCGGGTGCAACCCAATCGTGGCTCCCATCAGAGAGAAGAGACTAGAAGAAAATAAAAGGGCAACTGTTTTCCCAGTTTCTTTGGACTGCAGTTTTGAGGCAAAGGTGCAGGGCACAAGTCCATAACTGTCTACCCTGCTTCAGGCCTTGCAGGAGTGCCCCTCCCCCGTCTGTATCTGGAGACAATGCAAGGAACCCATTGGTGTGCTGAGAATGGGCACCATGGCTCCTCTGGGGAGACTTTCCACAGCGTCTCCAGTACCAAGGAGGCGAGACAAAGCAGGAGAGCCTGGGACATCATGATGAGCGCAGGTAGTTTCATTCTCTTGTTGAAGAGGCTCTTGGTTCAGTGGCCCCAGAGAGGAGTCCTGAGTTCCAATCCCTGCTTTTACTCTAACTCCATTTGTGACATTGGCAATGTCACCTCTCCCCTCACTTTCCCACTCACACAACACAGGTCAGACGCACCCACTGCTATGGTCCCTTCAAGCTCTGGCATTCTGGGTCCAGCTAAGCCTCCTATGAACAAGTCTCAGACCCTTGCCAGACCCTCCACAGTGAATGAAGAAATAAAACAACACATAAATTGAATGTGGACCACAAAAGCAATGCCCTTTACCCTGTATATAAGAAATGCAGAGCAACATGTGATTTTTCACACTAACAGTGAGATCTTCAAAAACCTTCTCTTTTCTCTGGACTGCTCTCAGCCCTATTTGCTGGATAGTTCTTGGTAGGCCTGTCCTTTCACCAGATTGTGTCCCCTCTTAAGGCACTAAGCAGTATCTGGGATGTGACTTTAGGCCGCTGGGAAAGTGGGGAATGGATGAAAGGCATTGAAACAGCAAAGGCTAATTTGCAAAGAGGGTGCCAGGCTTCTCCTAGGACTCGAGCAATCTCAAGTTCTCCGGGCCTTTCCCTGGCATCACCAATAGCTTCGGAGGCCAGTGAGGACCATGAGGCTCATCACTGCTGTGGCACAACCATCGCAAGACTAATTTTTCCATGCAGCCCTGCAATGGATGAGGTTGACTCCTGGGATTCAGTGACCACCTAAAGTGCCTTCCAGTGTCCTCTGCTCTCTTGCTCCACAGTACCATAATCTCACAGGAAAGAGGTGAAGTGTTTGAAACTGTACCTGTACAGAGATGCCACCACACAGAGTGGGGAATCTATTTATAATTTATATATATATATGCATATTTATATTTTTTTTAAAAAGTCTTCCAGAGAGAGCAACCAAAAACTATTACAAGAAGGAAAGCAAAAAGAGGCAATGTAAAATTTTCCCAGCTATCACTCAACTAGGAGTCTCTGTTTCTGAGGTCTAAAATTCTGAGTTAAAAGCGCCAATACAAACCCTTCAAGACACATCCTGCCCATGTAAATACACCAGATGGCACAACTGTCAAGGTAGCCCTTCCCACTGGCGCACATTCCTGAGTTCACAAAGGTGCTGTGGAGAAATGACAGAGCAGAAGTGCTGGCTAACAGACGTGAGACTAGCGACCCAGAAGCCGCCTGGGCTGGTGTTGTCAGAAGTTCTGTTGCCTCCTCTTCTTGGCTTCAATAGCATCCAGGATTGGCTGCCTCTTGGACCGGTACTTCTGCCGGATCTCTTCCATTTCCTGTTCCATCATGGGGTCAAGGGCCAAGAGCCTCTTCTGAAGGTCCTCCACAGTCCAACTCTTAAGCTAGAAGAGAAATGAGGAGTACTGTCACCACAATGTCTGTGCTGAGAAGCTGAACCTCCTCCAGTATCCAGAAGAAAGATAGGCCGGAGGAGGATACCACAGACAAAGAGTCAAGGGAGTAACACTCAGGAGTGACAACTAATTCCAATGATCACAGGCCAGAGCTGTTGAGACCATGCCTCCCTGAAAAACTCTGAAGAACTAATTGTTTTGATTTAATGTGTGTCTTGAACAAGAAGTAAAGTACACATTCATTACATATAGTAACTTACTATATGGCTGCTTCCTACTTCCTATCCAATCTATGAGAGAAGCAGAGACAATGCCCATGCCTTTCTCTAAAACCTACCCTGGAAGCCACTATTGAGTGAAGATGTGCCAAGTGAGCCCCTCCCCCCACACCCCCAGTGTCATGCACAATTCTCACTAACATTCGCTAGAGAGAAAGCAAAGTCAAGCATTTTCTGTGGGTCATCTACATGTGGTTCCTGGACATATGGACACAAATTTTAGCTGAAGAAGCCCTGAAACTTCCAAAATTTATATTAAAAACAGAAAGAAAAGGATTGATATATAAATTAATGATGATGGCTAGAGCTTACACGCCGAGCTCTATGAAACAGACAGACTGATTATAATCTTCATAAGAAAGGATAGGAGTGTTTTGTTATCCCCATGCTGCAGGATGGATAAGCCCAGCACTTGGGGGAATGCAGCTGTAAGCCCAGCACTTGGGAGGCACAGGCAGAAGATTACTGAGAGCTGGAGACCAGGCTAGTACACACAGCCAGTTCCAGATTAGCCAAGACTACATAACACTACCTGTCTTAAAACACAGAAAAGAAAAGCAATTTACCAGTCTCCCTAAGCTGCTAGTATCTATAGAAAGGGCCAGTGAAGGTTCATCAGGATTTCTGTAAGAATTAAATGAAATCTGCTGCCCTAAGTGTGACTTGTCACTGTTTTTACACAAGGGCAGTCCAGGCTGGCAGAGGAGTAAGTGAATGCCGGCATTATCCACACTGGGTGGTAAGATTCGCTCCATTTCTCCTAAGAAGTACAGTATTCTAGAACTCAAAGGCTCACCCAGTCTCACAAGGGCTCTGTTGTGCCCACATTTATAAACCTCTCATATCCCTGAGCCAGCGCCTCCTGAGGCCTCCACAGGAACACATTACAGAGGGTGGGTGAAGGAGCCCCTTTCTGCCCACCTTCCTCAGGAGGTAGGGTGTGAATGACTATTACAGTGGCCTCCTTAGAAAGGGTTTAGTGTGACCTGTCACCACAGGAACTTTCTTTGGCTGGTCTCGGAAGTATTTCGAGAAGTGAGAAAAGCCCACCAGTTTAAGACGAAAGGCTCTTTGTAATGGGAGAATGGAAAGACTTTAAAGTATGGGGAAATGCTGGAAAGTTGCGCTGAAAAACTGTCTTGTTTTCCAGGCTGTGGTTTCATACCACCTTGGAGGCTGATGTTTTTGGCTCAGGGACACCCCGAAGACTGATGCTTGCCTAGTCGTTAGTATTTTCAATTCCTTCTCCAAAAGAAAACACCCCAAATCCAATATTGAATGTTACTGGTAACTAAGAACTGAATCCAATCTGTAGACCACTATCTGTACTGGCTGTGTAACCCTGAAGAAGCAACTTCTGGCTTGAACCTTAGTCTCCTCTGACAATAGACAGTTCTAGTCTCTCCCCCAAATGGGCTTTAAGGAGACTAGGGAGATCATGGGTGCCATGAATGTGGCCCTCTTAGCGCAGAACTTCCTACAGTGCATGTCTGACAAACAGTGAGCCCTGATTCAAGAACTGCCGGTAATCACAGCTGTTATTACTGACATCCCAGGATAGTCTAATAATCTTCCAAAAGCAAGGTGTTTGTCAAGCAGAATAACACAAGTGAAAGAAAAAAAAAAAAACCCTTTCTTACTCATCTGTGCTAACAATACTTTCCACAAAGTCCACTAACTCACAGTTAATATTTATAAAATATTCACTATTATGAGGACACATAAGACACTTAAATGAAACCAAGGACATAGCAGAAGCCACTACCCTGGTGAAATTTATGTTCTAGTGAGGCAAGACAAGTATCACCAATGTCGTAAGTCGGTGAGTATCATCATATCAATGAAGCTGCGTGCTCTGCTAACATCCAAGAGGGAAAAGAAAGGAAGCTAGGGCCTGGGAAGGCAGAGTGAGATGGAAACTAAGAGAACTGCACTGACATCCTGACTTGCTCTGCGGCACAGATGAGCCTCTTCTCCCCTGAAGGTCTCTATCTCCACATAGTTCTCAGACATCCTCACCAGTTCGCTCGAGGCATCTCCATGGACGCCTGCATCAGAATCTCCTGAGTACCAGTCCAGAGCTACTTTAACAGACTCCACAGGAAATCCGGCATCTTACAAAAAACTGCTCAAGTATCTCTCATCTATCCCCAAAGTGGTAAGCATAACTCTACATCTGCCCTTCTAGTTATCTGCTAGAGAAAACTGCTGCTTGGTCTAAAGCTTCTTTGACGTTCCTAATTTCTCAGCCACTCTGCCATCTTTAATTCTAACCTGGGGGAACAGGCACTCTGGTTCTAACCCAGCCACCTACAGTCTAATCATGGTTGCCCATAGTCCTCTGGGGCTTATGCTATGCCTCCCTTAGTAGGACACAAACAGCAGGGCATGGCTGAGGATTTGAGCACATCATCCAGATATAGATTTTTCTGACAAACAAGCTCAGACAATGGTTTTATGGCGCCAGGTGTAGCATTTCACCTTCCTGGTCCTTGGTGACATAAGTAAATTTCAAATGGATATCATGCAATAAAATATCTGGTTCTGCGGTTTTGCTACAACCAGCATCCAAAGGATCAGGTTCTCAAACCAGCAGCAATATGGTAAGTCTGAACAGTTTTCCCCCAGGCAGGAGGAACTCAACATGAATAGGCCCTCTAGGGTTCACATATGCTCTCTGTGCTCTAGGGTTCTCCCACTCATGTCTGTAGCACAGAACCCACCTCTGGACCCCAGGGACATGATAAAGGATAGATCTGGTCCTACTGGCTATCTTAGTCCCTGGTATCTCACAGGAACTTGCAGCTTGCGCCAAAAAGAAAGCTCTAGAGAGTCCCACTCTACCTTCCCGCCCACCTCAGGAATGTACTGCCATCCCCTCAGCTCAAACTCACCCTGCTCTTGCTTTCTCTCACCACCCTCCTGCCCACATGCAAGCTTCAGCAGCTTTATGGAGCTCATCTCTGACATGCTGGTAGGACTCAAACCCATCAGTGTCTTCTGTTTCTGCCTTCAGTCCCCTAGGCCAACCCACAGCACAAACCAGAGTAAACCGGGTCTTACTGCCCCCACAAAGGCCTCTCCTCCCACTCCAGTCTCACTCCTTACAGCCCACCAGTTGTTTGGTCTACAGAGAAGTCACTTGGGAGTCCTCCAGCGGTCATACTTCTGCAGCTTCCAGGACCGAGAGCAGTCCTTTTGTCACAGTGGCTTGTGTCAGTTCATCTATAGCCTTCCAGTTTCCACTCAGATGTCCACTCCTCAGCCATCACAAAACTTTTCTGAGCAGACTATCCAGAGGGGCTATAGCCACCATTTTATCTTATTTTATTTTAACATCACAGTTCAATGAACTTGAATCAGAGGGGAAATGTAAATGATTAAATGATTAGATTAATTTTATAATGAGTCTATTGAAGCACATAAAACTTAAGTCGTTCAGTCACTTTTGTCAGGACAATGGCATAATTTCGTAAATTCCTATCTTCTGTTTCATTTCCTTGCTAACTCTGGAGTAATTTAATTTCATGACCAGGCAAAGGCAGTAGCTGTGTTCTCCCTTAAGTAAAGACGTCTGCTCATAAAAAGCACATCTGGTTATTTTTACTTATTTTATTTGTTTTTCCTTCTAGGATGTAAGTTCTAAGAGGGAATGAAATGACCTCGTCTATCTTATCTGCTAAGCCTTAACTGGCTGAAGGGATGAATGAACCAATGATTCTTCATTTCTGTTGATGGCTTCCAATGATGAAGTCATCAGTCTTGGGATCTAGAACGTGTCAACAGCTCCACCAGCCAGTCCTTCACCGTGTGAGCCTTTGTGCACCGGCAGGGGCCAAACCGCAACATTCTCAAAGATAAAACTCAACTCAATGAACTTTTCTGCTGCAAGTCTACAGTCCCAGGTCAGCATGGGTAAAGGGTATGACTGATATAGTGTTTTCCCTCAAGCAAAAAGCAACTTCTATTATAGCAATATTCCTTGGAGAGAAAATGAAATAATCAAAATATTAAAAGTGTGACCCTCTGGACAAGACTAAATCAATGGCCACCTCACAGCCACAGGCTCATTACTGAAGGTGAGAACAGACCACACACAAACAGGCTCTTGTTCTAAAAAAGCTCTCATTTTGGATGGAGAACACAGGGTTACTCTCTTGGTCAAGGGCGTTCAGAATTTCTGGGGTTACCTGGAGGCCCATCAACGTGTCAGTCCTGGGTCAACAGGAAAGACGAGGCAGGCAGCACTGCTTCTGTGGCTGCACCACCCCCACTGCAGTCTACCGAGGACCCCAACTTCACGCCATTGCCTTTCTCTTCCAGTGGTGCACGCTGTCTGCTCAAGGACCACTTCAACAGCCTAAGTACGGTGTTGTTTCTCTTAACAACTGCCCTCTGGAGGTGATTAGAGTTGTTTTCAGCCTAAAGTTCAGTCTTTAAGCAAGATACACTGTTACCTTATTACTGACTCTATGCTTGTGCACATAAAAATATACTAATTATGTCAGTACCTGCCATGTACTGAGCACTGTATATTATCTGCACTGTTTCACTTAACCTGTCTTTAAGGTAGGTACTATGATTGTTCTCCTTTTACTGGAAGAGGTCAATGCAGGGAACTGACACCTCTGTCCCAAGGATACCTGCACTCACCTGCATGTACCCCCCACACACACGTATTTTTAAATTTAATCTTAAAAAATAAAAGAG